GAATAGACCCCTGACCACTGTCCTCACTGATCCTTGACTCATGTTATGTGATTCCCCTGACTGCTTGTAATGTACATATAGGACTGACCATAGCTCATTCTCCATACAGTAGTCAGATATATCCCCTGACTGTGACTGCCTCAAGTGAGTGAATGATTGTGACCAAGCCCCTGGACTATGTATGGACTCTGCCCTTCACTGACAGTATGGAGATCCTCTATCTGATAGCAGCTCCCTTGACCTGATTGAGGACAACCCCTCACATGACCAGTTGGGTGAAGAAAACATTCAGTGTGTTTGCCACACAAGTAGTTGGCATATGCTGGAGCTGTGAGATTGGCATCTCACTGCGCCATCCACCAAGCTGACCACCCCATGGATTGATTACTACTGACAAGCATGGCAAGCAGCCTGGCTCTGTAGGTGTGTGCTAAACAAATTAATATGGCACTACTGTAAATGTTTAGACTTCAGTTGAAGCATCATGATGTCAAAGGACATGTTATAGCAAAGCAGGGCTGGGATGCTGTGAGCATGCAGTTAGGCACTAAGTGAATGAACACAGAGAGTGATTGAACAGCACTGAGATACACCTGGGTCCACAGTAAGTTTTGTGCCTGTCACCTTGTAGCAGCGTCTAAAAGCTAGTGTTTCTGGTCCACCCCAAACTACAGCTTTGAAGTGCCGAATTATCTTGATTGGAATGGTACCATGAGATTTTTAAGATTTAGGTCACAAATATACCGATCTTTTAAATGCCAAGGTTGTTCAAAATTTCTTCTTCTATTGAACTTTTTCACCGACTCTTATAAATTTTACCTTTTAAGTCTTTAAATAAAGTTTGCGATTTTTCCAATACAGTGGCCCAAGTAGAAATTATTTTTCTGTTCCTTGCTCTGTTCATTGAAGCTGTGCCTCATGAAGCTTACTCATGATGCAGCAATGCTACTTTTGAGATGTGAGATTGCTCTCCTCTCTCTTGCCTTCCCACCCTGGTGCTAAAGGCATTTTTGCCAAAGCTCCCCCCCACCCGCCTTCCATTCCTCAGGGATCTCTAATGTTATTGCCTTTGATCCCCAGGATCCCTGCCTGTTACCAATAAAGCTAGCTTTGACTCTTCTCTTAGTTCACAATATTTCCTTGTACCCCTTACTTGCTCTGAAGTGAAGGTCTTCTTCTGGTATTCTCCTTTTGTCTTGTTGCTGGTCCCATGATAGTTTTCATATTTCAGCTGCTGTGTTTTCTTGAAGCAGTCGTTTTCCTAAAGTCGTAAAGTCAACTGTCTTCTGAAAATATTTTCTTCGAGATCAAATGGAATTTGAATTCACACTGCTGCTCACCATGTCATATTGTGCTCTGGGTACCAGCCACTCTGAGCTGGTAGCTGGCGTGGTTTTTTGCCACCAGTCGTCCTCTTTATGTTGAATCTAAGGTCCTGTCGAATTGTCAGTGGTAGAGGATAGACAACTGTAAAGTTTTAACAAAAGAAAACTCTTGTCTTACATGGTGAATTTATTTTTGCATGACAGCAATGGATACAATTAAGATTAGTTATCTAGTGACATTTGCAAATATGAGGACCCAGATATGTTATGTCTGTCTTCATTGGGACCTAGTACAAGACTGTGTTTCTCCATGTCAAGATGGTGCGACGTCATTAGGTAGGGGGAGCGAATGCAACTTTTGCATTCATTCTTTCAGAACCATTACCTTATGCAATAAGTTCTTTTTTTCTCCTGTGTCCTTCAGGTTGAAACTTGCTAGACATGCCAGGTGACAATATGGGGCAAGGGCAAGAAGGCAACAGGTACATTAGCGACCGATATGACCAAAAGCTATCTACTTATCTGGCAAGATTTATATTTTGAAAAAGAAGTAACAGTGGAAGAGAGTGAATTCGAATTAAATTGGGTACAAAAATAAAGAAAGGATGAGAAATAAAGCATGGAGTTTACCAATACTTACGGGACTTAACCTAGACTTTGCACAAGTGAGCATAATTCAGGCAATCTTACTAAAGACGACCAATTAACTGGCACCCTTTTAGGTGCCCCATCCAATTAAGGATGATGGGCAGACTGTCTAAGCAAAAGGGCAAACTGGAGAGTCAAATCAGCTGGAGGCTCCATGGGAAAGGTGGGCACAGCTGACATAGACAAAAGACCAGAAGGACATCTCAAGAAAGAGGCACACTCTGAAGAGCACATCATTATTGAGGGAACGTAATTTCTAGTTTATTCCCACTGTATCCTCAGATGGACCTCTATCTGTGCAGTTGGGAAATCCTGCCAACATGACCATCAATTGCTAACTTTTCACCATCAGTTTGATCATAGCTCCAGCAAGTTTGTTTAAAGAGGGGGGGTACATTGTATATAAATCCTGATGTGTAACTTTATGAAGGATACAGTGAGGTCAGTGAGAATCAAAAGTTAAATATGTTTATTTTAAAATCACTTACAATAATTTATTACATACAGGAATGAGTTTGAACAATTTTTAATTAGAACATAGAACATAGAACAGTACAACACAGTACAGGCCCTCGGCTCACAATGTTATGCCGAACTTTTACCCTAAACCTAAGGTTTATCTAACCTCCACCCCTACCTTATTCTATCATCCATATGCCTATCTAATAGCCGCTTAAATGCCCTAATGAGCCCGACTCCACTACCCTCTCCGGCAATGCATTCCACACCCCTACCACTCTCTGAGTAAAGAACCTACCTCTGATGTCTCCCCTATATCTACCTCCACTCACTTTAAAACTATGCCCCCTCGTAATAGCTACCTCCACCCTCGGAAAAAGTCTCTGGCTGTCCATTCTATCTATACCTCTGATCATTTTGTACACCTCTATCAAGTCACCTCTCATCCTTTGTCGTTCTAAAGAGAAAAGCCCTAGCTCTCGCAACCTTTCCTCATAAGACCTTCCCTCCATTCCAGGCAACACCCTGGTAAATTTCCTTTGCACCTTTTCTAACGCTTCGACATCTTTCCTGTAATGAGGCGACCAGAACTGGACACAATACTCCAGATGTGGCCAAACTATTCTTTTTCTGGGCAATAGAGGTTGATTGGCAAAATACTGATAACTAAAACATTGTTACTGAAGCACTTGTGTTGTTAGATTCGAGCCCAAAATTTTGGTTGTGGATTTTAGGCCTCTTAATGCACGTTAGCAGCAAGAACTTAAAAATAATGCAAATGCTAAGTGTGAGATGCCATTTGTGAGAAGCAAACAGTATAAATCTACAGGTTCTGGAGATTCACAACTAATAATACATCTCCTTGATTCGCTAAACATGCAGACTGATTTTCACATTGATAATCTGTGTGTGTGCATGTCGAATTCTGTAAGTCAATTTTCTTTGTCTCCTCTTGAAAAAAGTTGAGCATTTTTGTTAGATTGGCACTTCTGAATTCACATTGGTGTCTTTTTAAAGGTTATGAGCACCCATCCTTGTTTTTATTAAGTATTAGATACAAAAAAGATTTCTGTAAATTGTTAGGCCAGAAATAATTAAGTAGATTGACATTTCTTCTCTCTTACATAATTCTTAACTCCTAATACCCCATTGTCATTTAAGGCTTGAATGTAAGTTTGGGCAATAGGTATTAATGAAGAAGGCTTTTCAGCCTATCCTAGCCACTCCATCAGGGAAGAATTGAAATTTCTTTCTAAACTGTTCAAAATTAAATTATTGAAAATATGATGCAACACTGTCAATCTTGTTCAGAAAGCTATAAAGCATTTTCGGTGTCGGAAATGCAAAATATATGCTAATATAGTTGAGTGCTCTCAACAAGTTATGTTTAAAGCATAAAACTGGGATAATATGGAGGGGTATTCACCTTTGATCTTAGTTGATATTATGACCAGCGATATCATTATGTCATCTGTTGAAGGTCATTTACGCACCCAGGTCTATAATTCCCCAAATGCTGGTGTGTGAGCATGTACAAATACAAAGTGCCCACAAATCTGCAAACCTCCTTCATGGGTAGCAAAAATCTGTAATTATCCTTCGATTGTTTATAGATAACTGTGTTAAACAAGGTGCTACTGTTACCAAATGATGTTTGTATGTTATATTGTATAATGCTATTGTCATTATAAGCCAGCATTTTGTTATAAGCATTATTGTGGGAAATTTAGTTTTGTTCTGTTTTTGGTACTTGATTAAGCAAAATAGTGAAGGTTTTCATGCATGGGAATTGAGTAATTATCAATTTGTTTTACCAGTGTTAATATCAAGCATACCTGGGCTGATATAGAATGGGTTAAATAAAAATCCCTCAATGTTCTCAAACGCTTATGCCTTAATCTGAAAATAACAGATGATTAGGTACAGTGCCAGTTTTCCATTTCCTACACCAAGCATCTTTTTTATTTCCTTAAGGAGGTTGACAATATTCTATTCATTGTGGGTGGTGTTGTGCATGATAACTTGTAATAGATAGTTTGATATTGCCTACACCCATTTTCTGGACTCTCTTCGATCATCAGGGAAAATGTGACATTACATTCTTTCTGTAGGCTGATACAAATATCCACACTCTTTACCTTCCCTCAAAAATTTGCACTTAAAAAATAATATTCTTAACATACCTGGAGAAAGTCACATTTTGCCTTGCGATTGAAACAGTTAGGATTTGAATTTATTTTCCTAAGTCTAAAATGCTTTTTATTAGTATTGAGAAGAGTTTAAAAAATGAACAAAGAAGCTTTAAACATCTTTGCAATGCTGTTTCATACATCCATATTTCAACCATGTTGCCTTCTGGTTATACAGTGGTGTTTTTAACTTGCTTTGTCATGTTTTCAGCAGTGTAATCATATTGTGGAAGAAATGAACCGTCGGGGAGCATAGATTTGAATAAATAACAATTACTTATATAAATTTACTACGCTGGGATGAAATCTGTATATTCACTTTCCACCTTTAAGTTTGTAAAAACGATACCAAGTAAGTCATTGTCTTTATTTTTTTCAGAGAAATGTGATGAACCACTGACTGTCGCACTTCCCCACTCTTCCTTTAGTAGTTCATCTGTGATGTCAGGCAGCTATGTACCTGGCTATGCTAAACTGAATAAGAGAGGAGGTAAGAGCTCTTAAAACAATCCTCAATAGAAATTGATTCATATTTTATTGTCAATTATTAATATTGTAATGAGCTGCTTTCCTCAGTTAGAGTGAGTAGCAACTTGTTTTCATTTAGTTCTTTAGTGTGGTAAATGATCCAAATTGTTACGTAGAAGGCAGTACATGACAGAAAACAAAGAAATAAAGAAGCTAAGATTGAGCCATCGTTCAAGGAATGGTCAAAAGCTTAATTGAAAGCAAAAATCACTTAGTTGCTTCTTTCAGTTAATGCATATTGCACGTTATTTTTTATTTCTTTTCATAATCCAAGTGAACAAGAATGTCTTGTCACGCAGGAAGCGTCTCAAACTGTTTTACATTAAACAGGTCAGACAAGTACATGCCAAGCAGGAGAGGAGAGGAAAATGAGAAGAATTAGTGGAACTTAAAAAGCACATTTGATGGTAAAAGTTTTAGTGGATATTTGAAAGCAGAGGAGAAGGTAGATGGATGTGGAGAGTGAATTTCCAGGTGACGAGGTATAAACCAAAGTCTGAGCAGGTTGTGAATGGGTACATAGAGCTAAAGAGGTAGCATGGGGAGGCTATGGAAATATTCAAAAGTGAACATTAACATTGCAAAGTTAATTTGCTGTTGCACTGAAGCCAGTGGGATGAGGAAATTTTGGGCAAATAGCTGAATTTTATCCATGTCAGAACATGATTTCAGAATTTATACGTAATACAATCATTCTTTGATTGCTCTCTGAAGCTGAAATGATGTTTTGATTCAAGATCAGAGTTATGAGTCCTAGTGAGAATTGAAGAATACAATTTCAGCATTACCTGTATTAAGCTGGAAGAAAGGAAACCAGAATAGGTTTCTCAGCAGATACTACATTGGTACTTCCTTAAGCAATTGTTTAAGTTTTTATTTGTTTCAGGGTGGCACAGTGGCTCAGTGATTAACATTGCTGCCTCACAGTGCCAGGAACCCAGGTTCAATTCCAGCCTTGGGTGACTCTGTGGTGTATGCGCATTCTCCCCATGTCTGTGTGGATTTCCATTGGGTCCTCTGGTTTCCCCTCAACAGTCCAAAGATGTGCAGTTTAGGTGGATTGGTCATGCTAAATGCCAGGTTACAGAGAGAGGGGGCAGTACTGGCTGTGCATGGGATGCTCTTTGGAGGGTCAGTGTAGACTCGATGGGCTGACTGGCCTCTTTCCACACTGTAGGAATTCTATTCTGTGAAGGAGAGCCCTGGGACCTAATGAGGTATATAACAAATGCAGGAATCTGTCTGGAACATTTTCTAGTTTCTGTTGTTTTCAGGGGGAGCACATTGCACTATTTGCAAAATATTTCTGCATAGATTTAATCAAAGACTATTTTTATTTTGTGAAAATATATTATGACAAACAACATAAAAGGGAGCAATAGCGTCAGCCAAAACAAGGTTTATAAATGATGACTCCATAAGCAGCAGAGGCAGTAATTTATAAGGTAAATTGAGTAAATAATGAGGTGGAATGTGTTATTACTGTAGCTAAGCTGTGTTTGCTAAAGTGGTGATAGGCTATTTATTGAAGGGAGTTGAAAAATGCCTGTGGTAGTTATCTATATTGGAATAAATAATTTGTCTAAAAGCAATCTGGAGAGGCCTAAAAAAAATCGAAGCACAATTTGGAGAGAGTCACAAGAGAAATGATATTAAGTTTGTTAATTGCAGATTGGGGATTTGGAGCATAAAGAAGAATTCAGAAGGGTATAAATTGCCGATTCCACTGAATACAGAGATAGTACATTTTTGGATTAAACGTTACTTTGGGTGGAGGTACAAAGTGATCCAGAAATGCAAATGTATAGATCCTTAAAGTATGAACATAGTTAGAAAAGACTGTGAAAACACACATGTTATCATGGATTTAATACACAAGAAATTGAGTTAAAAAGCAAGGGAGTGATATTAGTTAGTAAAATATTGATAGTGCCATTGTTGGTGTAATGTTCATACATTTAGCTTGCCCATCATAAGATTGGTGTTGCCTGATTAAGAAAATTATAAATGTTCGCTGGAATTACATGAGAAATAATTGGCTCATATTGGGAAGAAAGCTTGAAAAAAACATGTTGTTTCATTGTTGCATGTTATTACACAAAAGGTTAAGAAGGGTTTTGGGAGTTTTCAAGAATTATGAAATATTTTGAGAGAACAGAGACTAAAAGTCAATTCTCACTAGTTGACAAATCAGTGTTAAGTGGAAATGGAACATTAAAAATGGAAAGCTTCTTTTATGACAAGACAATAGAAAGCACCACTGAGAAAGATACGTGTGCAAAAGAAAACTTTAGCAGAATACAAGGAAATATCAGGAGAATGAGACTAGATTTGATAGCCAGGCTAGAAAAGATTATACCAGGACTGTGTAAATTGAGTTAATTTTATCTATGCTATTAGTGACAGATGGAGTTTAATTTGGATAAATGTGAAGTATTGCATTTCGGTAAAAGAAACCAGGGCAGGACTTATACAATTAATGGTAGGGCCCGAGGTAGAGTTGTAGAACAGTTGTAGATCTTTGGAGTTCAAGTACATAATTCTTTGAAATTTACATCACAGGATGGTTAAGAAGGCATTTAGCACACTTGCCTTCATTGCACAGACCTTTTGAGTGTAGGAGCTGGGACGTCATGTTGAGATTGTGCAAGATGTTGGTGAGGTGTCTCTGGAGTGCTGTGTGCAGTTCTGGTCACCCTGCTGTAGGAAGGATATAAAACTGGAGAGGGTTCAGAAAAGATTTACCAGGATGTTGCCATGAATGGAAGATTTGAGTTAGGCCAGATAGGCTGGGACAGTTTTTAACTGGAGCATCGGAGGTTGAGGGCGACCTTATAGAGGTTTGTAAAATCATGAGGGGCATAGATAAGATGAATAACAAGGGTCTTTTCTATAGGGCGGAGGAGTTAAAAACTAGGGGGCGTATTTTTAATGTGAGAGGAGAAAGATTTAAAAAGGATATGATGGACAACACTTTTTACACAATGGTTCATATCGAACAGCCAGAGGAAGTAGTGGATGCAGGTACAGTTAGAACATTTAAAAGACAGTTGGATGAGTACATGAATAGGAAAGGTTTGGAGGGATATGGGCCATATACAGGAAAGTGGGACTAATTTGGTTTGGGTACGTGGTCAGCGTCGACTAGTTGGACTGAGGGGTCTGTTTCCATGCTGTATGCCTCTATTAAAAGCTCTGTAACAGTGTCTTCAGAAGTATTACTCTGTAGATCGCTGTTGATATGCGGCTGACTGTCATAAATTTGGTTGCAGATATGTCTATGTGTCATACTAGTCAGGCTATAAAAGACGAGCGCAATGAGGAAGTATTGACCATGTAATCCTGCGTTTGGGCCTTATATACCTGAAGGTAACATAAATAAGGAGATAAGGGATTTAATAATCCGAGAGATTCAGCAACATACTTTATCTACGATTTATAAATATTAAGTATAAATATATATTTGAAACAGCTTGAATTGAAATTGAGACAAGCCTTTCTTAAGAAACTTTCTTAAGAAATAGAGTCCAGAATCTGTTGTTTACAAATCATAGACATGTTCTTTGATTATAGAATAACATTGAAAGATAATGGATATTTTATTCATAAAATATTAACTTACTGTGTCTTTCTACCTCTGCTTAATTATCTTAGCAGTAATTAAGTCTGACTATTATGTTTAACTTGAGAATAATTATCTAACAGTATTGGTATTTACTTCATATTGGAAGAATATGGTGGCTATCCCATGTGGTCTTTGTTCCATTATGTTCTAATGAAGGATATGCCTAGGAGTTCAGGCTTCAGTTCTGAGGAGACTTGATCTACTGCAGAAACTGCCTCTCCATAAAAGCATTGGGAGAAATCCAAAGCCATAAACATTAGCTGCACAGTTTTAATGCTTTGAAATGAGAATGAATTAAAACAAGAGATAAGGTGATGAGTCTTAATTTCGACATGAAGACACAGGGAAAGTAACTGGCTGTTTGATGGCCGATTTTCAGCTTGTATGAAAAAGAAAGAAGGACAGTTCCAAGGAGTAATGATTTAAAACAGAATAGCCAAGAAAGATTGTGAAAAGGAAAAATTAGATTCTTGTGCTTAGATAGGGATCATCTGGCCGAAGTAACAGCTGGATGATCAGGGAGACACCAGGGCCTTATGGGAGCAAATAAGAATAAAGCTCAGCTTTCTCTCTTGTCAACCTAACAACTATACTATCAGAATACAAGAGACAAGAGGAGACAGAAGTTTGAAATAAAGCTGAGACCAGGAGGGATGACATCTTGACAATGAGGAAGATAACAGCTGATGCTCTTTTGTAATAATGTTGCACTTGGCAGCTTTCTTAGTGAATTTACAGGGGCTATGAGCGGAGACTGCATTGGCTCACTGCTCCATACTGATATTAAAAGAAATATGTGGGATTTTTATGAAGCACAGCTGAGCAAATAAATCAAGATATTAGATCTGTTGGAAGGTCAACTGTTTGAGGTAAGCAAATTTCTGTGCCGGCTGGATTGCAGCAGTTGCTTTATTGGGAAAGATGGACAGATTATAGAGTAGGTACATAATAGTTGGGCCATAGAAAAGCAGCAAAAGAGATTGCTGACTTAAAAGTGTCCATGTTACAGTCCCAGCAGTATTCAACCTGAACATCCCCAAGCTGTGGACGCACATCATGTGGGGTATGTTGAACAATGACTTGTGATAGGAAGCCTTGCCTTCTGTTTTTGTATAGGCTACTGTCAAAAGGAAAGACCTATATAGAGAACTGTTTTAAAGCACAGTTGAGTGAGGATGGTGCTCTCAAAGAACTGTGACTGGCCCGATAAAAAGGAATGTTGTGGTGGTGATAATGGGCATAAAAATCAACGTTTTGATATTGAAGAGTTATAATTCATTCTGGAACAGATTCATTAAAGGAGAGTGGTCTTATTTGGACCCAAAGGTAATCCTCCA